TTTGTTAAAAATCAGTTCTAGCTTAATCTTTTGTTTACGATTTTCCCAGATTCTATTTTTTTTAGCATCTCTCCATGTACTAAATTGATTGTGATTGGTTGGCTGTTTTAGCTAATACCTTCTGGTATCAAATTCAATTTTTGATTTTCATGTTTAAAAAAAAATAGCATCTTTAATCCTATGAGTTTTACCATTTCTAATTGATGTGCTGTATGTTGTGTATGCAATTGAGGGACTATTGTTAGTTGTGATCCACTAGGCAATCACATATATATTATCCATATGCAATAGTTGTGTATACATTTAACCCCACAAGATGTTAGTTTAGTTGTGTATCAATGTACGCCAACCAGCTGTTTGTTCAATTGACAGACATGGCTTGGGAGGTTTCTCAAAGTTAAAAATTGTTACCTCTTCATTTTTTGATTGCTAATTGTCTAGTGTTTCATTAATTTTCAGCCTTTTGTTTCTCTTACTTTTTGCATATTGAAAGCTAAACAAGTGTAACACTACCAAGCTTCTAGGTTCTTGTTTATTACCTCCAAGATTCAACCTTTTTGGTCCATTGTTAGAAATTGATCGGTGATTCTGGCTTCAGGTGGCTTGTCCTAATTGAGTTTCTAAAGTTGTTAATTGATATTCTCTTTTTGGTTGATTTTCATCTTATTGTGGTTCTCTCACTCTATAATTGAGTCTTCTTTTTTTTTTCCACTAGAATTTGTTGAAGGGAATTACTGATTTTTTTCGTAGATCTACGATCTCTCCCAATGCTACGTAGTGCTCCACCTTTTTAGCTCCTTTTTTTAGCATACTAATCTTAAAGAAAAGGAGTAATAAATGATAAATGCACGATCTTCTTGACATTGCGGAACCTTGTTTAGTTTTAAATTGTTCTATGGGAATTTTACTCATAATTTTTTATGATAATTACTGTTCAGGCCTAGGAAAAATGTAAGGTGACACCTTTATCTAATAATTCTATATGTATTGGTGATTTATGTGGCTAATAGTATTTACCATCTGTCTTCATATCCATTAAGCCTAAAAATTATATCTATATTTATGGGCCTGAGCTATGAGGAACTATGCTTGCCAACTAAAGCACTTATATTACAAAAAATCTACATTTAAAATGAAACTATGAACATTTGTTTCTGTAAAAACCACTGGCTTATAAACAGTTACTACAATGTTTGAATCCCATTATATTCTCAATTTATGATTATTTTTTTTTTCTAAAATGTCCTGATAGATTACACATGGGGAATCCGGAATACATTTGAATTGAATGCATCTAGTTTAGTGAATTGAAAGGCCTGATTTGTTCCAATTAAGCTTTAATGTTTGTATCAAGTGTTCTTCTGTGATTGGTTTTCTCAAGTTAGTATCTTTACACAACAATCGAGGATTAGGGTCGGCTTTGTGTTTTGATATATATATCTTACAGACATTAAATAAATTATTGATGTTAAACTCTAAATAATGTTTGAAATCATTTTAACTTAGCTTAATAACATACTTGCATGTAACTATTTTTATCACATTAATATTGTTTTGTTAAACTTTTTTGAAATTTGTCTTTCTTATAAAGGGGGACAGGGAGCCACAAGAATCTCATTCTCCAGGTTTTCATTTCAATTCAAGTAATGGATTGTATCCTTCTCATGTTGACCTACAATATGGAGCCACTCCTTCTTTCCAAAGCCTGCTGAACACGCCAATGGTTAGGAATCCAGTATTAATCAATCAAAGTGGTGATAACAATGCTCATTTTCCTATCTACACTCCGATGACCAATTTTCAGACTCACAATAACACTTCTTTGGGTATTAACCGAACTCCAGTTAGCACTCCAATGGTTCCTTATGAAAGTTGCGGTAACGCCACGAGCATCAACAATCAGAATCAGGTGACAACAAAAGGATTAAAAAAAAGAGTTAAAGATGTCCAAACATCAATTGGCAAAAAGGATTTGAGTGTTGAAGAAGAAGAAGCTTTGACAAACGCGTGGTTAAATGTGTCTTTGGACACTATTGTGGGTAACAATCAAAAAGCTATTGCCATGTGGGTTCGTATCCATCAAATATGGAAGGAAAACATGGGGCCTGGATGCAAATATCTTAGATCTTCTAATAGTTTACAGTGCCATTGGTCCATAATACAAGCAGCGGTAAACAATTTTGCAGGACATTATTCTAAACTAGAGAGACATCCTCAGAGTGGTACAAACTCAAAAGACTTGGTAAGTATATTATGTTATGTTAAATGTTTTCATCGTAAAATAATTTTCTTGTAACTTATTGTCACATTTTTTATATTTTATTTATGATGTTTGTAGATTCACAAGGCGTTGGGTATGTACGAGGATATAGAAGGTAGCAAATTTAAATGGGTTCATTGCTGGGAAATAATGACTAAAAATCCAAAATGGCAGTCGAAACATGATAAGAACATTGCACCAGATACGCAAGCGGGTGATGAAAACAAGTCGCCTACATCTGAAGAATCTTTGTTGAATATCATTGATGATAACATAACACCTGAAAGTAATAACTGTGATGGTGTGGGACGAGCAACAGGAAGAAAAAAGAGTAAAGAAAAGAAGCGAAAGTTGCGTGATGAAAATTGAGTGGTGGATGCATTAAGCAAGTTGCAGTCCACTTTGGCAAAGCAGATTAGTATCAATGAAAAAACTTTGGAGATGAGAACGAAAATTGAAGAAGAAAATATTCAGTTGAAAAGGCAAGCACTAAACAGAGAGATGGAAATGAAGATGAAGGAACAAAAGAGAAAACGACAAGAACGGGTAATGAACCAAGATTTAAGTAAGCTTACACCTGTAGCAAGAGCTTCATATGAAGCCATGCAAGCCAAGATTTTGAAAGAATGGGAAAAAGATGATATATTTGAAACTGATATGGCAAACTCGCAGGTATAAAACTATGTGCTTTTGATTATTATTAGTTTTTTTTTTTTTTTTTTTTTT